CTAATTGCCAACATTTCTCATTTTCATTTAGTTTAAGCACTAAAATAATTAAAGCTAAATAAACCATAACTAAAAGCTACATAAAAAATGAAAATATAAAAATAAAATATAATCCAAAAATTTGATAATATATTATATAAAATGTGAATAGTATAGTTATGTGAGTAGTATAGCATTGCTACTAAAATAACGCTGATACATTATTATTATTTATTTCAATTATTTTACTTTAATTGAAGTTTTATAACCTTTTGGCAGTTAAGCATGTTTGTCCTTTAAATTATAATGATCGTAATGTACAAATTAAAGGCAGTACAAGAATACTTTACAGTTTAGATATACTGTATATATTTTTACGCATCACACAATGACTATAATGTGATAATGTGTGTGTGTGGGGGGGGTTGGGGGGCTTTATCGCGGGGGGTCATTTCTTAATTTGTTCTTTTAGGGTGAGATTTGACACAAACATGTTCTTGGCAGGTTTTGTGAGATTTACCCAGGTACTTTGTGTTACTTGGCATTCTCACTTTTTGTTTAACAATTGAGTGCTGCAAATGCATTCAACCCTTAAAAGTATTACAATATTGCTACTTGCATTGAATAAAGCGAGGACAGCTTGTGCAAGGCAGCCTTTGACATTTTCCTAAATGACAGCCGAACTGGCTATACGAAGTGACCCGACTCAAACAGATGATCCTGCCACTGTTACTAGGAACTCACTCGAATCTTGCTTTCGTCTTGCTTGGCGTACTTGATGATAGCCATGGTGTCTTCATCCTTGTGTGCTGATTCCTGCAGCCAGCCCTCCCTGGTCTGCTGATCCCAGTTCAGCTGACTCTTCAGCTCATCAAGCTTCTGGGTGGCTTTAAAGATGTTGTTCTGTGCAGATGATTGACAGAATTACATTAGGATTTTAACTACATTATAAAATAAACATAATGCGTACATACTGTTCAAAGATTCGGGGTTGGAAAGATATTTTTGAAAGAAGTCTCTATTTTTGATCAAGGCTGCATTTATTTGATCAAAAATACAGTAAAACAGTAAGTCAATGTATCGTCACGAGCTGCAGGGTTTAATTTGGATTTGTATGTTTTTTTTTACTCTCAAAGCCGTGATCCCCATCCACTTCCATTATATGACTGACAGACTGCAACGGTTCGTGTTAAAAATCTTTGTTTGTGTTCTACTGAAGAAACAAAGTCACCTACATCTTGGATGCCCTGGGGGTAAGCAGATGAACATCAAATTTTTATTTTTGGGTGAACTATCCCTTTAAAGTTCTGCATAATTAAGGGCGTGGCCACTTGAGTGACAGGTCGATTGCCGCTGCTGTCACCACCGTCGAGCTAGGTGGGCGTGGTTTCAGCAACCAGCTCCCGCCTTTTTGCCCATTTTCGATTATCCCGTAGTGACGTGCGGTGACGCGGTGCCAAGATGGTGACGGCCGGCTCTGCCCACTTTGAGCTTCAAAAACGCTCTTCAGGAACCTACGGGTGACGTCACGGACACTACGTCCATGTTTTTATACAGTCTATGGTTTTAACATATTTTAAAATGTAATTTGCTCCTGTGATGCAAAGCTGAATTTTCACATCATTACTCCAGGTTTTAGTGTCACATGATCCTTCAGAATTCATTCTGATGTTGTTTTGATCATCATGATTTATTATTAATAATATCAATGTTGAAAACCGTTGTGTTGCATAATGTTTTTTTGTTTTGTTTTGTGGAATCTGGGATACATATTTTCAGGATTCTTTGATGAACAGAAAGTTCAAAAGAACAACATGTATTTGAAACAGAAATCTTGTAACATTATAAATGTCTTTACTGTCACCCATGATCAATTTAACGAGTACGTGCCAAATATATATTAACTTTGTTTAAATGTCCCCAGACTTTTGAACTATAGTGTGTGTAAATGTGTTTGTATACATTTGTAGTTTGTGAGCCACCAATGAATAGTGGTCGTGTGTCTTTATATTGCTTTGACAGTTTATGCATAAGCAGAGGTTACATCATATGGATGGTGTATATGTGTCAGCTGCAACCTCTTGCGCGTTCTTCTTCTCATTCAGTGTTTTCAGTTGATTCTCCAGCTGAGTGACCTCTTGCTTCAGGCGGCCAGTCTCTCGCTCCGCCAGTGCTCTGAAATGCACCTCTGATTCAGTCTCCTTCTCTCTGGCTTTGCACAATGCCTGAACACATGCGAACATCGCATCTTACAAAACAGAAAAACAAAGGAAGGAACAAGTTCCTCTACAATTATCTCGTACCTGAGTGTGGGAAACCTCCTGTCTTAGATTTTTTAGGTGTTCAGTCAGAGCATTTATCACATCCTTGTTTTTATTTATTTTGTTCTCAAGATTTAATTGCTCTTTTTGCTTCTTTTGAAGCTGTGGAGCGAAGAAAAAATGAATGAGATTTACACACACCTCTCGTAAACACCAGTTCTCCTGATATGAAGTCAATTAGCAGATAAACTTCTCACTCACCCCCTCCTCCAATGCTTTATTCTCCGCATTAGCTACAGGGATGGCAAAACCCGCGTCCCAACCAACTTCTGCTAACAGGGCGTTAGACATTTTGTCGTTTCAGAGACGTTCAGGAGTAAAACATCTGAGATTAGGCCTTCCAGACATTTACGAATGCCGTAGTTTATCGTTGTGTTTTCAAGAGTCGTTTCCTAGCAACGACGCTAACTATCGATGTGCCGTATTCGACCGATAGGTGACGCCAAACGCTCCTTTATCGGGCAGCAGAATTAATACTTCCAATACTTCAGAAAGTGTTTTACAAAATATTACATAAGATTTATCCGGTTAAGCATGTTTTGGAAAGATTTAAACTAAACATTTCATTATTAAACATTTCACTAAACATTTACATGTACATTTTGTGGACAACAAAAGGAAACATTGCATTTTTGTTGTATTTACACAGGATTATTTTGGAAAGATTTAGAAATCTATATTAATAGAAAACTGGGATGTACAACAGAGATTTGAGTGCTTGATGTGGTTTTTTTTCCAGAAGGAATTTTTGAAAACATAAGCACAACATATTATACAGTTATTTATTTTACTTGCAAAATATCACATGCAAACCAAAGTTTTCACATTTTATAAATGACTTTAAATTATATATAAACCTCCTAGAACAAAAAATTAAAAAGCACTGAAAACATGCAACGCTTTAAAAGCACTGAAATGTTGGAATTTTATTTCATTTTTGTTTTTTCTGGCAACTGTTTATAATTTGATTACGTAATACCTCATTCTTGAGGCATTAAAAAAAACACTTTCATTCTGTAAATTAAAGTATGAATTAAAGTTCTGTTTAATTTTGTTTCCTCAGGTTAAAAGTCCCTTATAGTGAAATATCAAAACAATGATTTAAATCCTGAAATTAATTTTAGAAATCATTTACTCACCCTCATGTCATCCCAAACTTGTATGACCTGTATTTCTTTTGTAGAACATAAAATATTAAATATACAAGATATTTTTACTTTTTTTTTTTTATCCATATAATGGAAGTCCATAATGATAACCAAAAACTGTTTGATATCATCTTTTGTGTTTGAACAAAACAAAGAAAGTCATACAAGTTTGGAACAACATGAGGGTGAGTTAATGATGAGTTTCATTTTTGGGTGAACTTGTAGTATTTCATAGGCTTTAAAAGGAAGTTGCACTGTGTAGGTAAATGCTCGCTGAACTACCACACACACACACAACATATTTTCAAGGCCATCTGACTTTATTCATCAACTATAACCTGATTTTATTGTATGGATTATGTGACTTATCAAAGTGCTGAATGAACTGCAAACACAGTATATCAATACATCAAATGGAGTCATTAATCAAGGAAAACTGAGGTAATGTTCAAATTAATATTCTTTCTATGATTGTAAAATATAATATTCTCAGTTATTATGACCTATCGATTTAATCAAAACCAAAGAAGCAAAGTGAAATCACTGTCTGGATATCAACAGAAAAAGTACATTAAGTCACAATAAAAAAAACAAAAAGAAAGCAAATGTGACTGGCTCTCAAGACACCAGTTACTCTGTTTTATAAAAAAAAAGAGAAAACAATCAAAAAACTTTGATGCATAATTTTCATAAAAACCAAATGGAAAGAAACAAACATTCAAAGCAAGAATGCACATGGAGTACTAAAATTAAGATCTTGACATTTCCTAACTGTATCTGTGACAGCTTGTTCGACAAACTGCTTCATCTGGATGAGACCGCTGAAGTCCCATAGATTGAATAAGATCCTGTATGAAGTCAAAACAAAAACCAGCCCAAAAAGATAAAAGCTCAAACCACCATTAGACGACTGAAGAGAAAAGATGCCTTTATTGTCTCTGGTTTGTATAAATGTCTCAGTCCTGAGGGCTTGGAAAAGGCAATGCAGATCTCAGTTCAGTCCTCTGTGCTCGGCAGAAGCTGTTTGTTTTCAGTGAGGTCCAGACGGCCCTCAGAAGGAATGTACTTATACAGCTGTACTCTTGGTGCCAATGTACGGTCGCGCAAACTCCACAAAATCATCAATAAGAACTGGCCATGCTCCTAAAAAAGGGGGGAAAATCAGAAGTATGATTGTGAGCTTCACTTTGAATTTTACTCACATGATTAAATCAAAACAATGTGTAAAGTCTAATAATTTGACAACATAACCACCTTATGAATGTTAACTAGTTCTTTGAATATATATATATATATATATATATATACAGAGGTGTGTATATACATATCCTGTGTATTTCTAAACAGGTCACATGAATAGTCAGGCCATCCAAGATGTAGATGAGTTTGTTTCTTCATGGGAACAGAT